GACTCGCCCCAACCTAGCATTGCCAAATAAAAAAACACTTGCAATTCAAATACGATTGTTATCGATGGACACGGACCATTGTTACTACCCGTTAACTGGGTAATTGGGTGAATTTTTCGCCCGTTTTATTGAATAATACCGGGTTTGTTAACGATTATGTCAACTTCTACAAACAATCAACACAGTTACTAAATAATCCGAGCTTCATGTTTCAGAATACACTACATCATAATAATCACGGTTACTTTCTTCTAGTAACCGTGTAATAATACAGTCTTGTATGTCGTCAAACTATTCTCTAAATGAGGTATTCACGTTTTCTTTTCTCTTTTTTAGCGTCTTAATTTTCTCGTAGCTAACAAATCTGTCAACAATTTTTCTGTTCCTAAATCTATGGTGAAAAGAGTAGAGAATACAATTTCGGATGTCAGAGGGTTGTCCAATCAGACTGCGCGAATTGACGGTCTCTAAAGCTGGTCTCAGACACGGTCTCATTCCCGGTCTATGTGGCATCCGAGAGTCTCTAAATCGGTCTCAAACACGGTTTCAAATGGCATCTTCCTCTGTGGGAGAGTCTCAAAACTGGTCTCAAATGCCTTCTAGAGGGTACCGTACATACCTCGAGATGTGTTTGAAATAGAGCAAATACTGTATTTATCCTGGGAGTAATCTGATCAACCTGCCTTGATGATTTTTGTGGGAAAGTAAGTTTTATATTTTCTGATGTTTTGCTTTTTCAACAGCTCGTTAGAACATTATTAATGTGTACCCACCTTCTGATGAACTTGCAGTATGATGTCTATGAATATGATAAACTGGAGCTTGGTGGCTGTCACCATGGCTACTATCAGATGTTACTTGTGATGTTGCGCCCATCGCTGCCGTCCCAGAAGTTGTTTTTACCTCATCCCTAGTTTTAATCATCACAACAGACGGTTTATCAGAGACAGCAAGAGCTGGTGGAGCAATACCACTAGAATCTTTCTGCAATAAATCATAGGTTTTTAAGTTTTTATATCATTGACAGTAAATATTTAAAAATTATAATCAGACAATATAATTATGTGTATGGCATTTCAAAATTTCAAAATGCATTAAATAATGTTCTGTTAAATTTCAGTCAAAATCTTTTGTAAAGTTTAACATGTTGAAAGCTTCCAATGACGTCGATAAACAATGTGCTAAGAAGTCTCTTTGCTTCTGCCATAGATGAACAAGCCTTAGCCTTGGGTATTTATCATTTTGTTCAACCACTGTGAACAGAGAAAAAATAGCAAATTTAAAAATATTATAAAGCAATATATTGGGGATTGTCAGCTGGTAGACAGATTTGCTGTACATCTGCAAACTAAGACAGATTTAGCACTAGCTAAACATTTCTGTACTAAACCACATTCTGGTGTCTCAGATATTACTATCACTGCTGTAAACCTTATCAATTGTGACGATACTATGCATCAACAAATACACTTAGTACCCTTACACCAAATGACATTAATATTCAGTTCTATGCATTCCCAATGTCATCACTCTAATTAGCTGTCCACAACCTCAGTGTCTTTTTTTCATTATTTAACCTGCCTATTTTATTCTATGCTTGTCAGACTCATGATTGATTGCACCACAGTCCCTCTATAAACTTTGGTTGTACCTTAAACGTCTTGCTTTTTAACTATTTCGAGTATAATAACAGTACTGTTGCAACAAAAACACATTTATTGATCAAAATTAACTGAATGAAAATTTTTTTGGCTTCTAAACAAAGACAAATCTGCAAAAATACATGTATAGTTGAAAGGGTAGTCACATACAAGATAGGTGGTCTTTATATACAGGTTGCTCAAACACTATGCCTTGTGATTGCCC